ATATTTATTATAACTGTTATATTTATTATAACTGTTTTTATTTATTATAACTGTTGTTATTTATTATAACTGTTGTTATATTTATTATAACTGTTGTTATATTTATTATAACTGTTTTTATTTATTATAACTGTTTTTATTTATTATAACTGTTGTTATTTATTATAACGGTTGTTGGTGCAGAAAGACGTTGGACTGCAGCCGCCTGGATGTGCATGTGCCACTTCACACTTGGAGCATCTCACTCCCCTGTGGGGGGGGTCCTCTGAGAACCTCCACTCTGCGACCTGGACCTTTAGTTTCAGAGAGGATGAGGATTTTTTCTGTAAATGAACGTTTCACGTCGTGTAAACGAGGCCTCAGACTGGCTGCTCTGTCTGTCAATCAAGAGACACATTTCATAGATGATGATCGACTAACTCTATTTTTTAATGAGATTTACCCATAATCCTTTGAGTTTGACCAGTAGATCGCCATCAACGTAGTGGGCACCCCTTTAGTAAATGATACGAGGGTGATGCCCGACAGTCATCGAACGCATCACTCTGCTTCAGCCCAGCAGGATTCTGCTCCTGCCTCTTTAGGTTCTGCTCGGCCGCTTCAGTGAGCTTCACCCGTGGTTTCTGAACGGCCACAGGAAGTTCAGACGGACTCTGAGCGGCCATTTTACCAAACTGTCTTCTGAATGTGTCTAATAACAAGAAAAACAGCCGTAAAGTTTATTAAACCATTTTTATCATTGTTCAAAATAAACAATCCAAGGTCAAGGTCACCTTTCAAAATTATTACTTCGTGTAATTTTACACAAATTAAAACAAATCAATTATAATATTGTGAAAGTTTTTCCCTGAGTCCCAGAGAGACATTTTAATGTTAATAAATGTTAAATTAAAGATATTAATACAATTATGGTTTTATTGGGGTTGTCCTAAAGTTTAGCCATACTGGTCTCCTTGCGGTGACTTCCTGTTCCTGTCAAGGTCCAGTTTAATTAAAGATCTTTCTCGGCTCCTGGTTCAGGGTACGTGTTTTCTTGGTCCAGTACGAACTCTCGGGCGTTGGAACTGGTCCTGGCTGAGGCTCCTCCACCACCTGCCGTAATAAAACTGCACCGCTAAATAACAACTACTTCACTGTTGCCGTTATTGTCTGTGACGTGCAGGACCCAGAAGACTGGTCTGCTCTGAGAGTCTTAGCTGACTCATTCCGAGCACCATTCGAAACTGGTTTCAAACCACAGCGCAGCAGGTCCAACTACAGACTTGTTGTTGGTGTCGTGTTTGTGCTGAAAGATGCTCAGTCAGTTTCTCCTGAGACAAAGATGTAGCTCCTTCCAGTCGGTTCTTTGTGGGGGTGGACTGGGCTTTTCTCAGGTGGAGGAGTTCAAGTTTCTCATGGATTTGATCAAGAGTGAAGCATGACTGGAGTGTGAGACTGACAGATGGACTGGTGCAGCTTCTGCAGTATTGTGGACACTGTACTGGTCCATAGTTGTGAAGAGGGAGCTGAGCTGTAAGAAGATCTCTGTTTATGTTCCTACCCTCACCTGTGGTCATGAACTTTGTGTAGTGACCAAAAGAATGAGATCGTGGACACAAGCAGTTTAAATGTTTTCTCTGTGGACTCTCCCTTATGACGCTCAGCCACCGTCTCAGCTCTCATCAGTTCTGCAGCGCACCGCACCGGTTAAGGGTCTGCCCTCTGCCGATACCCACCCCCATTCAGCCCAGTTCATGGGACCACCTTGTTTGTGGTTCCAAGCGAACTGCTCTGAGGTGACGACACTGATGTAAGCACACATCAACCGTGGATTGACCAGTGGAGCTACACCAACGGATGACCTGCCCAGCAAAACTGCAAACTACACCTGAACCTCCTCGATCATCGTAAAGCGGGTTAGGCAGTTTTATTTTCTAGTTTCTAGTTCAGTTTGGAAACTCCAAAATGAGCGCTGTTGACCAATGACGAGCTCCAGACCGGTCTCTCTTTATTAGTGGATCAGAAGGTTCAGTGCGAAACCGCTCACTTTGGATCGACGATCCCGCCTACAACAAGTCACCTACACCTGAGAACCAACGAGACGAGACACGAGTGGAGTCAAACTTATGATTTAGAGATGGACTGAGAAGTTCAGTTCTCCAGGAGAGACTCGAAGTAGAACCGCTGCTCCTCCACACCGAGAAGAATCAGGAGGTTCAAGCATCTGTAAGGAAACTTCCTGGGCGCCTCCCTAAGGAGGTGCTTCGGGCATGTCCGACTGGGAGGAGACCCCGGAGAAGATCCAGGACACACTGGAGAGACCATGTCTCTCAGTTGGTCTGGGAACGCCTTGGAGTCCTTCCAGAAGAGCTGGAAGAGGCTGTGGAGAGAGATGTGTGGACCTCCCTGCTCAAGATGCTGCCCCGAGACCTGAGTCCAGAACAAGAGATGGATGGATGGATGGATGGATGGATGGATGGATGGATGGATGGATGGATGGATGGATGGATGGATGGATGGAGTGGGACTAATAGTCCTTACAGTCCTCAGAGAGTCCTCTGAACTGTTTGGTCTTAAAGTCCTTCCTGTTAGCTTCAGTGCTAGTTTGCACAGCGTTAGAGAAGCGGGAGCTAAAGGCAACACATTTCTTTCATGAAGTCCTTTTCCACACAAAAAAACTAATTTTCTTTTAAAAACTTTTTTCTTGTTGTTTCTTATGTTTAGTGTTTTCGCACTGTACTTCTACAAATAAACAAATAAAAACAGGAAACCAGGGTTGGGAGTAAAGCTGGTGTGAAATGTGGACGCAGCAGAAGAAGAAGGTCGGAGGTGAGGCCGAGACGTTTTCAAAAAGATGCATTTTAGCTGTTTACACGGTAACGTAAGGACG